CACATTTATATTGTGTTATTTTTTTATGCTTTATAAACTTAATTGATGCAATATTTATGTTGTTTGATTAGTTTGATATGAAAATGGAATAAAGAGTAAAGTTACTAGAGGAAAATTTCTCGTTCATTTTATAAAATTTAATAATATTATTATTTATTACGTCATCCAGTTCGACCGGTCGAACCGTGAACCTCACCTTCTTTCGGTTCTTTGTCCGGCCCAATTTTCAAAACCTTGATCAAAATAAATAGAGACATCTATAACGAATATATGACCGTCACAACAAAGGTATGTTTTATATATGAATTAATACAAATTAAAAATCTCAAACATGTTCTATTGAATCCAATAATATTCATCACAAGGCAGAGCTTAAAAGAATTAATGATATTCTCTCGATAATATAAAAAGGGAACCATTTTTTGTGTTGTAAATAATATAAAAATATTTTTTTTTTACCATTTTTAAAACAAGTTTTTAACATATGGAAATTTTTGCTATGCATGAAGTACTTTAAAATGAACAAATTGGGCTTTTGAATAGTCTTCCTTCCCAACAAGGTCAAGAAGAACAAGACCAAATGCATGAAAAAGGCAGCAATTATAAGCAAAAGCAACACTATTACCTTACAAATCCAGTACAATTGCAGTATTGGAAAAAACAATGGTCAATTTATGATAGTTTAATATAACCTTGATGGAAGTTCAAAATTTGTTAAAACTTAAATGAATTAGTTCATAAGAAATAAAATTTTAAAAATAATTTTAAATATTGTAAATAAATTTCACAATAAGCTTAAGTGCTGAACTACAATAATCTATACAGAAATTTCACTTCCATTTTTACCTTGTTTGCGTTGGGCATGAGTTCTTGTAGAGCTTTCATCCTTTCTGGGATCCGCTCTATACGAAGCTACGCATATGATAATGAGAAAATAACTAATTAATTAAAAAAAATAAGCCAAACCATCAAATCTTAGTTCTTTGAGTAAAAAATCTTTACCTGGCGGAAGAAATTACTGAAACACATCGCTCTGTTGTCCTTGCTTCGCTGTGGCTCCTATTTGCTCATTCCTATCCACTCATTTCTACTTGTTACCTGCTAATTCCAGCACTCTGGCTCTAGACCTTCCGGACTCTCGCCAGCAACCTCCACTTAAGGATCAATGTCTGTTTTGCCTTCAATAACCTCTATTTTAAGTCAACCTCCACTCATTTCTACTTGTTACCTGCTAATTCCAGCACTCTGGCCCTAGACCTTCCGGTTTTCCTCCTCAATTTGTCACTTGGATCCAGGGTTGCATTACTGATGTGCATTTCACTATTATAATCAATGGGGCTCTTGAAGGTTATTTCAATTCATCTTCCGGATTAAGACAAGGCTGCCCGCTATCACCATATCTGTTTTGCCTTGTCATGGATTGCCTTTCTTCTTTATTTGAGGAAGCTACCCATACTAATTCTATACAGGGTATGACGGTTGGTAACCTTAAGATTTCTCACCTTCTCTACGTTGATGATCTCCTTGTTTTTGCCAAGGCCTCTCATGATAATGCCATTGCTCTTAAGAAT